AGACTTGGCTGTCATTGGAGTCCCTCTGCATGTACACCCTGAGCAGCATGCTCACACAGTGGCGCCCCCTGGCTGTCTGAGTCTGTGTTCTGTCAGCATCTGCTAACCAGGACCCGGACTAACACGGGACTTGTGAATCAGGCTGGATCTGAGTCTGGGCTGTGACAGGATTATTGCAATATTGGATCGGTGCAGGATTGTCATTGGCAGTACAAGTGTGATACTGTGAGAGGGCTTATACAGAGGATATGAGGCCTGCTCTGTGACGTGGTGTAGCCAGCAGCTCTTTCACCCTGCAACTCACAACTGGCAGCCCGCTGAAGCTCAGTACCTGGAGGGGAGACTCCTGGGAAAGCTAAGGTTGCTGCTGGAAGAGGTGTTAGTGGAGCCAGTAGGGGGCGCTCACCCTGTGGTCTGTGTGGGTCCTAATGCCTCAGTATAGTGACGGGGACACTAGACTGTAAACAGGCGCCGTCCATCACAGAAGAATTAAAACCAAAGTCCTAACTCTCTGTGGTCATTAAAAATCCCAGGGTGTTTCTTGAAAGAGTAGGTGTGTTACTCTGCCATCCTGGCCAAATTTTCCATTGGCCTTTACCCATCATGACCTCCTAATAATCTCCATCTCTGAACTGGCTTCATCACTCTGCTCTCCTCCCCACTGAGAGCTCGTGTGTGGGGAGCGGACTGGCGCATCATCCAGGTGGGGCTGCACACTGGTGGTGGTGGAGTCAATCAACAGATCTTTGCTTTTATTATACAAATGAGAGGAGACTGTTCGAAACATCTAGTCTGGATTCCTCTCTTTCAAAGAAGCCAGGACGCCCGCAGCACGGCTGGATAACCCGTTCCATACTCCCACCTCCCTTTGTGTAAAGATGGGCCTCTCGTATTATGAGGTTAACAGTCTGAAGCCCCTCCCCACCACCACGAGATCAGAGCAGTGGCTGAAGAGTGGATGGAGGCTGTGGACTGTGGAAACTGTGTAGCTACAGAAAGCTGCAACTTTCTTTCCTTGGTGTCAAAATACGGTTCCGCACACATCCCTGACAAAGTGTCAACAGCGATCAGCGTTTCACGCACAAGAAGGCCCGTCACGACGGTTCATCAGTCTCCTTCATGTCTTCTATTAATTTTCTCCGGCTGGAGTGGTGTTAATGTCAAAACGTGTCTACCCAGGGGTTTCGGCTTGATTTGATTTAGCAACGTATGCACCCGCCCGCTGTCCTTCTAATGGGCTAGATTAATGTGACACGAAATTCTTTAAGACGTTAACGGCTCCTTAATGGTTTCCGGTTGGCGGGATGGTGTCTTCCGCACGTCCAAGTGGATGCTGGTGGCATGTTGCGCTTGCAGAGAATTGCGCGTGCATGAATTCTCCCAGAGGTTAAAGGAGAACATAAAGATTTGAGGTAGTTCTCCCGTGTGCGTGCAGCAGTTTTGTTCTGTCTCCCTGTTTCTTTAGCTGAGGTTTTGCTGTCCTGTGTGGACTGGTGATCTAGTTCAGGGGCTCTTGTAAAGGGAACACCCACAAATAACACTGTACAAGAGCGCCCTTCACCTGCTGCTCTCCTCTCTGTGAGATTACAGGCACCGGGCAGATGAAATGAGAAATGTGTCTGTTGCGGAGATTGGGCTGAACGGTGAGGGCTGGCTGAGGTTGTATTAACGGTAGCCCCTTTGAAATTAAAAATAAAAATCAAGCTTTCCTTTCACCGTCTCATCCCTGCAGCACTTAGACTCCTTGTAGCAATCAATAGGAACGTGTTTACAGAAATGTTACAGGCAAGAGCATAAGCCTTTCTTTCCTCCTCATTCAATAAATGCCTTGCCAATCAATTTACTTGATATCAGTCATTTGTAAATGGCAAGAAAGCACTTCACTCAATATCGCATCGTGCATCTGCCCAGGAACTGGGGGCCAGTTTCTGCGAGGCAGTACGCACATTTTAGCCGCAATGGGATACAGCAGAGTGGCTTAAGGCTGTGTCTTGACCGCAGAGTTCAGTGTGCTCTACTAACTGGGGTGACGGGCTGTTTATTAATCTCACGGATCAGACTGTATCTTTCCCCACAGCAGTCAAGAACTGCAATCCTTAAAAAAAGACTTCACAAGCTTACAGACTTGCTGAAGCCAGTGCCTCTTCTAAGACTCTAAACACAGGGAATGTACAAGAGGTCCACCCCACAGAGATGTGTCCATAGTTAATTGCAGGCTACCCCACCCCCCACCCCCTCCTGCCACAATAATTCTGGAAATCTAGTACCCATTTATACAGCTGGCTGGACTGTAGCAGCTTGCCCAAGGACA